GCAGCTCTGCTTTGAGAGCCGAAGGCCTGACTGGGAATTTGCAGCAGGCAGCAGCCAGAAGGCTTCAAGCAAGCCAATCCTAGTGTTTCTTCAATGGAAGAATGTAAACACCTCCCACTGGCCCAAATCAGTTACCATTCACTTACAGCATTGCTGCTTAATTCCCATGGCAAGTGCTCAGCAAATGAACAATGATCCTTCTCAATGTTCACTGATCAACCTCTCTCTGAAGACGTCATTCATATTCTCCAGTATGCTGCAATATGTCCTCCCCTCTGCTCTGAAGATAACCTAGAACCTCAGGTCCTCATCCCAGGGCCATTCACATTGTCTCCTCAACAAGAATACCTTCTTTCCACTGGGCCTACTGTCCTTGACACATGCAAAGCTCTGCACCATCTGACAGGTTCAGACCAACACCAGCCTCCCTTGAAGACCCTCCTACTCCTCCACAAATATTTGAGAGAAACACAACTAAAATCTCATTACTTCTATAAAAACACCTGCCTTCTTTATGTAGTACTATGAAAACATTCTGATTGTTTTCTACAGGAAAGCTTTGTTATCCCTTTGAAACCAAAAGCTCTTGGGAACATGTTTTTTTTCCTTGGTATTTTTCACGTATTTCTTTAGTGCTAGAAACATTGTGTTACCTGCTATGACAAAAGGTTTCTACATACCACTATATATAACACTAAATTTCAGTTTATGACTTTACTATCTAAATCATTTATCTCTTATGTCCCTATATGACCCAAAATAAGATATAAAAATCAAAATTCTAAAGTATACCTCATTGCCAAAAGAAAGTTCCACAGAGACAATAAGCCACCACAGAAACTACATTCATTTTAACTTTAAAAAAATCTGAAAATTAGCTAAGCTTTAAAACTAATAATCATATGTTATCTACTTTTTCATCAATCTTCCACAATATGAAGCAAATGCAACTTGTATTACTTTGAGCTTTGTAATTTATCAAGAACCTTTGTGTACAGATATTATCTTCTTCATTCTGCACAGTGCTATCATGACCACCCTCTAAAGTGGCCTGAGCCACACTGGTGGGTCTGTGTCCTACAGAACAGGACCACATGCTTGGGTGGCTGTGTCCTCTACTGTCCTCAGCATCACAGGGAGTAGATATCAGTAGGGTAGAGGCCCTGCTTCTTCTTCTTTTCTGATACAAATCTGAGAGCTTTCATCACAGCTTGATGTCACTGCCCAAAAAGGCCATAGCAGACTCCACCCAGTCCTCACTGTGTCTAAATTCGGTAAACATCATTTACCAGATTAGACTGGACAGAGGAACCACAGTGCTCCTGTGACGATCCACAGTGATCCTGCAATGATTTGATATGTCTTCCCTCCAGAGGATGGAGGCTGGGACTTTGCAGCATGTACTTCTGTACCACACCCAGCCAGCCTTGCCCAGCACAAGTGCCTGATGAAGACCCAATGAAAGTGAACATAGTGTAGACAGGGAGGAGCCGGTACCAAGTGCCATGTACAACCACCCATCTGGACAGCAGCACTTTGGCTACTCCCTGCCTGGAGCTCTCCTAGGGCCAAGGGTAGGCAGAGGCCTATCATATATCGAACTATGCTGATTTCAGCAAATCTACCTTCTGGGGTGCTCTCTTGAGAACACATGGAATCCAAGGCCCTTGTAACATTTATCCTTGAATGCTAAGGTAAGTGCAGCTCTCAGCTACAAGATTACCTGACTCATTTTAAAAGTAAAGAATTTAGAGTTCAGGCATATTCAACAACTTTCCCTTTGCCACACAAGTGAACCAGCCATGTGGCAGCTCTAGGGTAGACACCAGATCCGCTGATTCCTGGTACAAACCTCTTTTCAGTATAGTACCAGTGCTCCCAAAGCTAAATGAAGACATCTTTTAAAAATATGTGGAAGCTACAAGTAGCCAAGTGTCACACAGAAACTCAGACCCTACTCATCACTATGTATAGACACGACTTTAGACGCTATATCACTACCTATAGACAAAGAAATTGAGCCTCTGAAAAAGAGACCAGTTTGCCCAGGGTCAGCGTCAGCCAGACCATGAGGGAAGCCAAAGGGACTTCTATCTCCTCACCTAGGTTCTGTGGACTTGGCCTTTGAAATTCTGGGTATGGTCTCAAATGCATCCTTGGATCACTCTGGCAGTGTAGGACTGCTGAAAGAATCAAGCAGATATACTGACTTCTGGTTTGCAGCTTACCTTGTTTAGGTTGAGCATGAGATTTAAACAAGGAACTTTACTTTCTTCACCCATTTAAAAGCAGTTATAAAGATGCAAAATGCTTGGGATACTGGCACTGTCTTAGCTACAGTCACTTTACCAATTCAATAAAGATCTACAATTACACTACAAAAGGATAATTTTTCATTGAAGTCAACTGAAATCAAGCCTATTTTTACAAACTCAGAAAAAGAAACCAGAGGTGTATGGAGAAAGGCCAACAAAGGGGACCTCTAACTTCTTCACAAGTCCTCTCCTCCAAATGCCCATTAGGATCGAAATTGGCAGGGAAGGAAGTAAGCAACCAAAGCTGCCAACTGCTCAGTTGTGACCTTTCCTTGCACACTTGCAAGTTACATTTTTTTCCAAGTGAAAAATCCAAGTATTGCTCATTTCCTGTTGACCCCTGGTCACTACCCTAGGTGGAGATTTCCAATCTTTAAGGAAATGTTTCTCCAAAGTACTGTTTCCAACGGATGGCTAGACAGTGTGCATGAAGGACACTCTCACACCTGGCCATCTAATGGCTGATGAAGGCGATGAGCAAGGAGTGATTTCCCTGAAGCCTAATGTGGCATATTCAGGGCATGGTGAAATATTTGTGGAGTCCAAGTAATTGTGAACTAAGGGCAACAAAGAGGAGGCCTTAGCACAAAGCTTAATACTGTCTCTGGCTGGGAAGTTCTGAAAGCAGAGGAGATGCACTTTCAACTCCTAAAAGCATGGTGACAACTTAGCTTTGTTAGGAACTTAAGGAAGTATTTGCTTTCTAAAATAGGAAAACAGAGAAATCCCAAGAAACACAACTAATAACAAATTTTCAATTTGCTAATATAAAAGCAGAATTAAGTTTTTCTCTGCTCTAAGCCACACACTGGGGCAAAAATCAGAAACAGAAGCACCAATGAGACAAGCAAAAGGTTAACCAGGAAGCCTCACTGGGGTGAGCCCCTCAACTCCAGGAAGGAGAGCAAACCTCCCCTCATCACCGCACTGCCCTAATCCAGCTATAAACTAAGATTTCAGTGCCCCTTCACTTTACACACAAGGAGCCCTGTACAAGTACACTTCATTCCATCCCAGCAGCCACATTTTAAGTGGGCAGCTGCTACTCTTCTTTTTTCGTAACTGGGGACATCTCTCTGATGCAAAAAACAAATGTGATAAGTCAAATGAGTAGAGCAAGGTAAGGGGCCAGGGACAAATGGACTGCAGATGCCAATGAGACTCCAGGTCCAGAACTTCTGAAAGCAGCAATAACAAAGAAAAGCATGCAAAAGGCTTACTGACGCTAAATACATACCCAAAGAACTTGGGCCCACGTGTAACTAGCAATAAAAAGGTACATTTTAGAAAGGCCAGTAAAACTAACTAACGTTTTTCTAACCTATCAGCAGTTTTCACACCAAAATAACTTGCATGCACAAGTTTTAATTCACTTCTTTCTTTTTTGGGGGGGGCGGGTGGGGAATAGAGTCTTGCTATGTAGTCCTGGCAAGTTTTAGTTTCTGAAACATACATTTTCTTACACTTATATCTTTAAATATACTTACACCAAAATTCCTTATTAATTAGTAACTCTAGAGGCCAGCCTTCTTCAGTTGAGAAAGAGGCAGGAGAAGTGACTTTAATGGGACATATTTGGAGCCACAAAAGAGCTACAAAACTGGTTCTCTGTTAGCTCTGAAAATATTTTCTTTTAAAAACAGTCAGGCATGGTGGCGCATGCCTGTAATCCCAGCATTTGGGAGGCTGAGGCAGGACAGTTTCTTGAGTTTGAGGCCAGCTTGGGCTACATAGTAAGCTCAAGGCCAGCCTGAACTACATAGTGAGACCCTGCCTCAAAAATAAATAAATAAAAACTACCAGGGCCATTTAATACATTTAAATTAACATTTCTGAAAAAAACTAAGTCAAAGTTATGTTTTTTTCCATGCAAAACTCACTGGAAATTCATGTTATATTTGATACGTATAAAAATGCTGCAAACTCTGTCTGAAATAATGTCAGGGCAATTCACCTGCAAAATTAAGAAAAAGCACACTGCTGAAATACAGCTAAAAGCAGACAAGAAGGAAGTATGAGCATATGGAGAACAAAAAGGACATTTGCTTTTGTTCAGTGAAGGCCCTAGTGAGGCAGTAGTATTCTCAATACCATCAGAACCCAAGGATAAACACCACAAAGTATTGCTGGTTGATATCAGGCCATAGTTCTTTTCATCATCTACCAACCCAGGAGGATCCTTTCTGTAGTACCAAGAAAACTCTGATTGAAAGGTCTTAAGGGCCTCATCTCTCTACCATTCTATACTTTCAAGCCAGGTACATCTGAGAAGAGGACAATGAGCCAAAGTCAGGCCTGGCATCATTCACTCTGCGTGTCTTATCAGTCTTCCCCCAGTGAGTTTCAAAAGCCAGTTCCTTTGTTGCATTCCCACCACCTGGCATCTGGGAAAGAGATACAGCACACACTTTTTCTTTTCCCACTTCTAAACTATTGTCTGCAGTTTGAAACACCTATCCAAAGGAAGTGGTCAATGATTGTTTGGAAATGTTTCACTTGCCCAAAGAAAGGGCACTCACTGTCCCTTTACCTAGTGTAAAAAGTTAAGTAATACCCTTCTAGGAGGAAAGAAGGGACACATGCCTCTCCAAAGTATCATGAGGTAGTCCCACTGGGTGGGTAGGTGGGCCAGGTGGGGAAGGGGGCTCCTGCAGCAGGCTACATTCGGGCAGCTGAATCACCTACCTTTTACTCTGGGTCCAGAGTTGCTGGGGCCAGCGCTGCCCACCACGCAGGGCGCGTCCTTTCTGGGCCTCTTGCTCTGTGGCCGCACACTGGACCTGAGAAAGTGGTGCTGGTCCTGGGGACTGCCCTGCGGTGGGGATGGCGCCTGTGGCCCTCCGGGGGCCGCGGGGGCGCCGTCGGCCCGAGAGGTCGGGTCATCCCTCTTTGTGCCGCTGCCGTCCTCGGCAGCGTCCGCGCCGCCGGCCCCCTCTCCTTCCAGGGACTCCTCATCGGCTGATCTCTTGCCCAGCTTCTTGAGCCCTTCCTCCCCGCTGCCGGCGTCCCCCAACTTCACTGTCATCCTGCGGCAGAGAGAGGGCGAGGGGCGGTGAGGCGGCGCCAAGGCAGAAGTTTACCGCCGGGCCTCAACATGGCGGCCGTTGTTTGTTCCAGAGCCGCCCGCCTGCCTGCCCGCCAGGCCCGCACCGCGCCGAACTAGAACCCTCCTGCCTCGGCTCACTCCACGCCGGACCCGGGCCACCAACCCCGGCCTGCACCTCGGCCCGCCCTGCCGCGCACCCAGGACGCCCCTCGCCCAGGCCCGCCAAGCCCGGCTAAACGGCCAGGCCCAGCCTCCGTCCCGTGGGGTCCCACTACCCCCACCACCCACTCCACAGGGCCTAGCTCATGGCAAGGCCTGTGCCTCTTCTGATTCCCGGCCTCTCTTCGCTGCCCGGCCTCGCCCGACAAGGGAGCCTCCAGCCGCGCACCTGCCCAGCAACGGCCCTCAGAGCCCAGCCCGCCCGCAGGACCAGGGCGCGCCCGCTACCCTGCGCGAGGGCTCCACCACCCACGGCCACGGCGCTGTCTGCCCCGGGGCTGCCCTACAGTGGGAGGCACCGTTAACCGGGGGTCTTTTCCTGGGGAGGGGTATGAGCGCTGTTGTGGGGATTTACCGACCAAACACCAGTGCAACAATGGAGGTCGTTGCGTGGAACAGGTTGGGGATACCCAGGAAAGTGACAGCAGTTTTGTCCTGGTCCAGTTACAACAAAGGGAAAAAACAAATTGTGTAAACACTTTTGGTAACAACAAAACTGTTGCATTAACTGCTGCCCACTGTCGCATTACATGTGATGGCCAAAAATGTTGGGAGCCCAGAAGGCACAGCCACCCAAGATAAACTAAGGATTAGGGGCATACCGACACGTCAAGCACAGTCAGAACAGTGCAAAAAACGAGAAACATTCCATTTCTCAATGAAACTGGACACTAAGTTTACCACACCCTGTGAAGAGGAGCGTTCCATTGAAAAGGAAAAGGAGATGGACGCAGAACACTGAAGCCTAAACGCAGCAGCGCGGTCAAGGGCTGCTCAGAAAAACGGGAACGTGGGCAAAACTCAAAGGAACATCACCACTGATGCGTCTGCCACAAAATGGTGTGCAGCGGTTTTTCGCTGTTAGAACTGATTTTTAACACGCTGGTTTTATAAAACCCTGCCACAGAACATAACTATCCAAAACACACAACCAGACCAAAGGGCTCCATGGCACAGGACTTCTCACTCTTCACTTATTAAGCCATCCCCATTTCCCTAGCTCAAGTCCTAAATCCTCCAAGGCCTCTCCTTGGCTTCTGAGTAGTAAAGTCCACCCCACGGCCAGTCGTGCCCCAGCAGCAAGCAGAGCCCCCAGCCACAAGGTCTGCTCGACGAGCGCCGGAGTCCGCACCGAGCCCCGTCACTTCCTGACGGTGGGAGGCGCCGGTTCGGCGGGTCCCGATCTGGCCCCACACCCTTTGTCCTGTCTCGGGTGGAGAGCTTACAACTCCCAAAGAGACTGACTGCTGCCCGCCCGCCCACGGAACCGAGGTCCGCGCACCCTGCGTCCCCCAGCCAGCCTGCCGTCACCTTTTTCATCCACGCTTCGCAGCTGCCTGGCTCCCCGGGTCTCCGGGCCTCCGAGGGCGCAAGCAGAACCGGCAGGGTAGGGCAGTACCGGCTGCGCCGCCGGGCTGGTGTTTGCAAGTGAGACGCGGTCGCCGAGCGGCGTTCGCCCGGCACGTCCGCTCCGCAGGCCGGCGCGCGGCTCGCGGGACTGCGGGCGCCGGTGCTGCCGCCGCTCCTCCTTGGAGGCCCGGCCCGCCGCTCTGAGCACAGTTCCGGCTACGGCGGCCGCTGGGGACGCGGAGCCTGCGCCGGGGCGGGGCGGGACAGGCGTCACTCACGAGAGCGAGCACGCCTGCGATGTCCTTCGAACGCGCCCCCCCAGGGGCGCTGCCATTGGCCAGAGGCAGCCGCGCGTGCTCGCACGCACAGTTTCAGAGGCGGTCCTGCTATGCGAAGCGTGTTGTGACGCCAGCCTCGCACCCCTGCGATCCGTACGTCTCTCTGGATTGGTGAACCAACAGCCAATAGAGTCAGCGGAAACGCTGTGATTGGCTGCATCCTTGTTGACGGATGCGTGAGAAGAAAACGCCGCCTCAGCGTTGCTTGTGGAATCGCGCGCGAACCCAGGTGGGGGCAAGTTAGTATGGGAGGGCATCTAAAGAGACGAATATTCCTTGGGTAGTGTAGCCGATGATCACTTTTCCTCATCATGGCGATGGTGTGTTTTTAAAACTGTAGTGTTTATAAAACAGGATCCTACATACGCGTGAGATCTGCGCCTCTAGTTATTCCGCCTGTCAGCAGCGTGCACAGCGCTGCGTCTGCTTCTGACGACGCGGCAGTTTTCAGGCCGGCTGCTTGGCTCTAAGGCCTGCGCACGCCCCACCCCCACCCCCACCGACCGTTCTCTGGAGATGCTAGGGAGGCGCTCAGTCGTGCACTCTAGTCTGAGGGAACGCGGCGGAGCCTCGCGAGATACCGGCCGCTGGCCCACGAAGAGTTAAGGGAGACAAGGCGAGAGACGCTGCTAGTCTCGGACCAGAACTGTCCCCGTCACCCGCTCGGGCCCGGCGAGAACTCCCCTCTGCCCGGCCGCTCGCCAGCCTAGTAGCTCTCTCCTGGCGGGGCTGCGGCCAGGAGGTGCGCCGAGCACTGCCGACCGCCCTCGGCTGTTTCCGAAGCCTGAGCGCTTCGGGCAGCCTCGGCTGCGCGTCGCCACCCTTCGGCTATTTCCGACTTTCGCGGCGTTGTCCCGGCAACGCGGACGGCAAGGCTGCCCAGCGGAGGTGAGTGTCTTCCGGGGGAGAGAGCTGAGAGCCTAGGGTAGGGTGGAGAGTCCTGCGGGGCTAGGACTGGGCGTGGACGGGGTGGATCTCCCGGGCTCCAACCCTGCCTTCCCTCGCGGCCCTGTAGAGAATGTAGGAGCGCCCTTGGCAAGGGCTTGTCACCACCGGACACAGCCCCAAGGCCCAGACTGACACCTGTTTGTAGTGCGAGTCCCTGTGGATGGATGCGGTGGGGTGGGGGTTGCAGAGCAACCCATGAGATCTGGAAGACAACAAGAAAATAAGACATCCTGTGCTTTGCCGACCATATGTAGGTTGCTTAAACGATACCCTGGGCTAGAGTAGACAGCAGTGTACCAGCACTGCACGAGTCAGGTCCAGTAGACCCAGCCAGTGACCTTGCACTGGCTTAAAGTGTGAGACTTTGTAGGGTGGTCACTGGTAATTGCCCGTGAAAGTCCACGGTGAAGTCCATCCTTGCATTCTTTTCTCTGTCACCGGAGGAGAAATGCTTCTTAAAGCTTTATTACCGTGTTCCCTGGCTGAATGGGCTTAAAAAACTTTCTCAAAAATTGATGCAGGCCCTTAGGCCCTGAGGACGTTGGACACCTGTAGGTGAGGGGAGTCAATGTGTCAGAAAAGTGAAATGTTTTTCCTTTTCCTCGAAGCGATGCATTTGCCAATTTTATGTCTTAGGTACTGGGAGCTTGTTTTAAGAAAAGAAAGTGTAATTGTTTCTGAACGGAGGCCATTAATGGATTGCCGTTCATATCTGTTGTTAGATATCTGCTTCCTTGGTTATAATTTGGTAACTTTTTTTATTATACAGATAATACAGCTGGTAAAACTTGTTAAGATGTAGGTGAACGGAATAATGGATATTTATGCATTATATAAAATAGACTCATTCGGAGGGGTGCTGTAACCCACTTCTTATAAGTAACAAAATATAAAGAACATGCTTCCTCTGGGCATTGAAGCGAAAAACCTCCTCTCCAGAGGCCCAGGCAGGAAGAGTGTAAATCAGAGACCAGCCTGGACTACATACCAAAACCCTGTCTCAAAAAAAAAAAGAGAGAGAGAGAGAATATCCTTCCTTTTTTCTTAAACATCTTCATCTGGGGTGCCCATGTTGGAGTTGTTTTATTTTGTTGTGTTTTGTTCTGGCAGTATCTTGCTATGTTGTCCAGGCTGTTGCCTCAGAACTCTTGGGCTGTAGGAATCCCCCGTCTCACCCTCCTCAGTAGCTGGAATTATACTTCTGTGTCGCATTGCCTGGCTTTGAGGTTTGTTCTACACTGCTCTTTGAGGCTGCAATGTTCCAATATCTCCACCTTGGACAGATAATGTGATGATACAAAACAATCAATGAAGTCAGGAGGCTGAAGCAAGAGGATCACTTGAGCCCAGGACTTCCAAGATGAGCCTTGGGAACGATACCAAGACTCCATCTCAAAACAAACAAATAATATATGTGTGGAGGTAAGGGGCTCTAGCAAGGCCCCAGGCAGAAAGGAAATATTTTAAAGATCCCTTATAAGTATTTATAGTTCTTACAAAGTGATATTGAAAATTAAAAATGGAAGATATCAGATTTAAATTTGGGTCATAATTCAGCACAAACTAGCATATTGCTTGTTTTCCAGAGAAATCTTATTAAATAGAAATTTTTCATAGCTGGGATTTAGACTGGTGGCTGGCTATAACACATTAAAACTGATATTAAAAGGTTTCCATTGCTATTTTAACTCACCCAGGTTTTGATCTGGTGTATTTTCATTTCTAATAGATTTGAAGGTTTCCTTAAGGACATTACTCAAGGAAGCAGGACCTTGACCAGTGAGAATCTAGAGATCATACCTGGCCACCCTGTCAGCGGCCTTGGATTTGTGATCCTGATAGTAATGAAATCACAACCTCAAAACTTGTGACTTTAAACTAGATTTGGTAATATATGCCTGTAATTCCAATACTCTCAGAGGCTGAGACAGGAAGACCACAAATTTGAGGCCAACCTGAGCTACTAAACAAGACCTTGTCTCAAAAAGTAAATAAATAAAATAAATTTTAAATTTGTGACTTTCCTTAGTATTTAGGGTAAACATTCCTAGAGAAAGGTCACATTTGAATTGTGACCATTCACTAGTATCTATGTAGCTCCTAGCTTCTTGTTAAAAAGCATTTCTTTCTCTAGAAGGAAATAGCCTTCCTCGAGTGCTTTCTTTTTTTTTTTTTTTTTCCCAGTATTGGGAATTGAACTCACAACCTTGCGCTTGCCAGGCAGGCGTTGTGCTGCTGAGCTGAATCCCCAGCCCCCTCTTGTGCTTTCATACAACTATTGATTGTTAAAAGTAAGCAGCATAATCCAGTTCCTACTCACTGGGTAGAACTTTTCATTTTTTGAACAGGTCTTTAATTTTTTGAACAATTCTTCCTGTTATTAAATGTGTATAACACACAGCCGGGATGGTGGTACACACCTGTAATCCCAGCACTCAGGAGGCTAAACCAGGAAGATCACCTGGAATTCAAAGCCAGCCTAGACAAAACAGTGGAAAATATATATATATATATAAATATAAAGTAAAGTTTACTGTTTCGTGCTGGGGGTGTAGCTCAGTGGTAGAGCATTTGCCCACTTGCCCTGAGTTTGGTCCCCAGCACCGAAAGAGAAAACTAGTTTATCGTTTTAACTATTGGACAGTTTGTCATTTCAACCATCTTCACCAATACTGTACAATTGAGTAGCATTAAGCACATTCACAGTGCTGTGCAACTGTTACCACATTCATTTCCAGAACTTTCTAATCATCTCAAACTCTGTATCCATCTGCCCTCCCCTCATTTCTTGGCATCTAGCATTCTACTTTCTGTCTGTGATTTTTGAGTATGCTGGGTGGCTTTTATGAGTGAATCATACAGTATTTGTCTTTTGTTGTCAGAATTATATCTCCTAGCTTAATGTCTTCAAGGTATCGTTCAGCATGTACCAGAATTTCCTTCCTTTTTGTGATTGAGTAATATTCCTTGATATGGGATAGGTTACCCAATGACATGGAATGTGTTTACCCATTCTTCTGTGGAAGCACATTTCGGTTATTTCTACCCCTAGATATTGTAAATAATGCTGTCTGAACATGGGGGTGTATATTTATGTATATAATTTAAGTCCCTGCTTTCACTTCTTTGGGTATATACTCAGAAATAGATTGGCTCTTATGGTAACTCTGTTTCTAATATTTTGAGGAACTCTTAGATTGTTTTTCACAGCAATTTCACCATTGTCTCCTCCCATGATCAGTGCACAAGGATTTTAGTTTATCTATGTACTCACCAACACTTTTTTGGGGGGGAGGGGTTGTTTTGTTTTGTTTTACTTTGTTTTTTGGGTTTTTTTGTACTAGGAATCAAACTCACGACCTCGTGCTTGCCAGGCAGGCGCTTGTGCCACTGAGCTATATCCCTGGCCCCTGTTTTACTTTGTTTTGTTGGTGATAGTCACTATTGTAATGGGTGAATAATTGTAAATGATGTCAAACCAGCCCACAGACATTCTCTTCTTTGCCATTTAGCTTCCCCTAACAGGCTTGGGTATGAAAAGGTGGGCAGTAGTCAGACTGTCATTTCGTTCACCACCCAACCCTCCTAAAAGGATTAATATGGGTATCCTTTCCCGGTCTAAAAGGAAGAAGGAAAGAGATTAAATTAGTTAATTAAATTCTTGTAACACGTGTTCACCTTCTCCACAAGTGCAGTGACTTTGAGTTCTCTAGTCTCAGTGAAGGAATCTCTCTGTCTTCTACCACCTGAAAATCAGATCTAAGAGGTATTCTTGAGCTGTGTTCCCTTCTTTTTGAAACTGACTACCAGTTTTTACTGTGCATATGTTCTCTTATGGGGCAGTTTGCTTTTACTTCGTTAGAAATTTTTCCTTAAAAAGCAACTATGGAAATAAAAATTGCCCTTATGATGACTAGAATAAAAATGATAGAGAATTGTGTATATAGTTTGCCTTTCATACCTGGCTGGCTTGCTTGCTTTCATCCTCTTTTTTTAAAAAAAATTTTTATGCAAGTGGGCTTTATTCTTTTCCATCAATCCCTGGATCGTTGTAGATCCATTTCTTTTCTCCTAATTTTACATTTTTTTGCCACTAGAAGGCTCTCTCAGTAATGTTGCCAGCATCAGTCCAAAGGAACATTTTTAAGTTGCCGAATATCTTATGATTGTAGTTGGTTACTCTTTCATAATTCTGTATAGAGTTGTTCTTGGTTAATATTTTTTTTCCTGCAGGTTTCAGCCCTCACCAAGTCTGTGTTTCATCATGGCTCTCTATTTTGACCATCGAATCAAAGCCCCGAATTCTGTTGGGTCTCCCTTCCACATTAGCTGGCATGCTGTTCACCCATTCCTGGCAGTCGCCTCCATGAGCACAGCCTCAGGAGGCAGTGTGGATATCTATCTGGAACAAGTGAGTAAGAGAGGCAGTGATTCTGACTCTGCTAGTTTCTGGCTCTTGGTTTTCTTTTGTTCTTGGAGCAGGGGTAAGATTAGCTCTGCTCTAGCTTTTTCCTCATCAATTTTCACTATATCCAAATTTTCAATATTATAAAAGCCCTAATATGTGGCCAGTTCTTTTACCCCTGCCATTAAAATTTGGGGACATATTTAGGAAGGCTTAAGGCATATTTCACAATCAGTTCATGTCCATTAGTGTTCGTGTTATTTGAGGATCCTGACCCTTTGTCATATCACCTCCTTCTTTGACTCTTTAGATTGACCACTTGAACTGTAGTAGTTTCCTGTAGCTACTGTAACAACTTGCCACGAACTGGATGACTTAAACATAGAAATTCATTCTCTTAACAGCCAGAAGTGTACAATCAAGGTGTTGGCAGAGGTAGTCTCTCTGAAATATGTTTCATGCCCTTATCTTAGCCTTTTTGTGGCAAGCAATCCTTGGTGCCCCTTGGCTTGTAGACATATTGGTCCAATTTCTCCTGCTAGTATGTCAGATAGCCTTCCAGTTTATGTATCATGTCTCTTCTCCTTCTAATTTTTTCCCTCCTCTGCCTCCTTCTCTTCTCCTCCTCCTTCTCATCCTCCTCTTCCTCCACCTTTTTCTTTTTCTTTCTTCCTTATCCTTCTTCTCCCTCTCTTCCACCTCTTCCTGCCCGCCTCCTTACCTCCCACCCTCTCTCTCTTTGTTTCTTCAACACTAGAAATTGAGTCCAGGTCCTCACTTTTATGCTGGGTAAGCACTCTTAACACTCAGCTACCTCAGCTCCTCTTCTGCTCTTCTTAAAAGGACACTAGTCATTATTCATTAATGGCCATCTAATGACTTCATTTTAGCTTGCTGTAATCTGCAAAAATCCTGTTTCCAAAAAAGGTCACATCACAGGTACCAGGGATCAAGATGTTAAAATATCTTTTTAGGGTACTCAATTGAATCTATAAAGACATTTTCTCCATGTTCCTCAAACTTCCAATACTTCCAACCACTAATACTCTTAGTGTACAACACACCTCATACTTCACAAAGAAAAGTGAATTCCCTTTCTGACACTCCTCCACACTGCAGTTTCCCTGTTGCCACTTTAACTTAAAGCAGCTGTAGTCATCAGCAACTTCTGTGTAACATCTTAAGTGTCTTTGGGTGATAATGCACACAGCTCCACATTCCTGTGAAGTCCTTTGGGAAACAGGCCAGAGAGTGTGGGGGCTTTGCTGACTCTTCTTCCTTTTCCATACTGTGGCATTCCTTAGAGCTTGTTTTTTTTTTTTTTTTTTTTTTAAGAACAGAATATATTTATTGAGGGAAAGAAAGCTTCTGTCCGAGAGACACACAAGGGGGGCCCCAAGTGGGTTGCCCCTTCAAGAGCCTCCTCTCTCTTCTTCTTCCTGTGATCGTGGCCTCCCCAGTTCCCATCAGTGGATGACGTACAAACATACATCTCCCGCCCAGAAGGCCTCCCTGAAACACAAACTCTGGAATCCAGCTGCCTTGCTGCATCTGTTGGGTATTTCAGAGATCTTACATTCCTCAACTCCAAAACTAAATTGAATTGCCCCCATTCTTCTCTTACTTCACATCTACCTGCAAAGGTTGCCTGTTGGTACCTGCAGTCTCTGAAATCCAGGGACTTAGGAATAACCTGCCACTTTCTACTCTACTGTTTTGTCATCTATTACCAAATTCTCTCACCTATTACCAGAATCCAGTTTTAATTCTGCATTCTTTGGCAAATCTGCCACTTTTTACTCCTTTGGCTCTTATCTAGTCTCATACCAGCTCTTTCCTGACACTACCACAGTTGCCCTCCTGAAGCAACTGAGTCCTAGTGGACTTTCCCCACTGCATGCTCCTGTAAGAGCCAGGGCCATCTTTCAGAAACATAGAGCCACCACTCCCTGCTCCCACCTCCCTGCCCCAAATTGCTCCCTTGGTGAGTATGGAAGCCATCCCCCCCCACCTTAGCCTTCCTCAACCCCAGTCTCACTCCATGTTCCCTCCTTGCTGCAGGCACCCCAAGGTCTATCAAGATGTTCTGTAACCTTCTAGCACTACACATGCTATGCCTTCTGCACTGCAGAATCTCCCTTGTCCTTTTGTAAATGAGTACACTAGTTCCTCAGACAACAGAGGCTCAGTGAACCATTCCTCAGGAAATATACACATGCCCACCCAGCTCATCTGTATCTTGTGTTAAGCTTTTCCTCATATACAAGAAGCTCAGAGAGGGCCACAACTATTTCATAGGTCCTTCCACCCCAGCACAAAATATGTATTGTAGTTTCTTTTAAAAAATAAACATAAGCTGGATGTGGTGGTGCATGCCTCTAATCCCAGCATTTGGGAGGCTGAGGCAGGAGAAGTGCCAAGAGTTTAAGGCCAGCTTGGGCTACATAGTGAGTTCAAAGCTAGCCTGAACTACATAGCAAGGCCCTGTCTCAAAAACAAAAACAAAAATGAATGAACATAAATCCCAAAATTATTATAACAATTTTAGATAAGATTTAGAAAACTGAAAGCATACTGTTGCAAAATAAGTCAGTGAAGTATATCTGAAAATATACATACTTGTAGCCCAAACCTGCTTTGTTAGAAACTTCTAGAAAATATAAAAACATACAAACACATGGTCCATTGGTTGTCAGAACGATGACATGTCACATAAGCATTTGGAAAACTCTAGTATACTTTTGTCAAGAATGAGAGTAAATGTGGTAAATAACTCTTTACCATAACGCTTTACTGTCGTCTCAAAAATAACTTTGGCCTTTCACAGAGCTAACAAGCCTCAAGGTTTCTGACCCTCACTTTGAGAACCTTGGGGCAACAAAATGCCCACTGGCCTGCTACCTGGTTTTATAAAGTTTTACTGGAACTCAGCCTTACCCATTGAAATGCTTGCTAGTTGTCCAGCAGCTGTGACTGTATGGCCATACTCCTTGACAAGTTCATCAGTATGTCTTTGAGTGTTGGTTACCTTCTGCTGGGATAGATTAGCTAAGAGAAAGGTTAATGTGTTTTTATAAAAACTGAAGATCTGCTTTAGTAAACAGCTCTTTAGCTCTTCTACCTGAAGTCAGTTCCATGTATTAGGCAGAAATTCTTAAAGTAGCTACCACTATCTATAATACAGGATATTTTTTCTCTTTTCTGAGGTAGGGTGAGCATGTACCCGAAACGCATATTGAAAGGTCCTTCCGCGTCACTTCCCTGTGCTGGCATCCGACGCGGCTGCTACTTGCTGTTGGCTGGGAGACCGGAGAAGTGATAGTGTTCAATAAGCAGGACAAGGAGCAGCACACCATGCCCCCAACACATGTCACTGACATCACCGTCCTCACTTGGAACACCAATGGGAACTGCCTGGTGTCTGGGGATAGGGTAAGTGCACACATGGTTCCTGCATCCCCCACCATGCTCTAACAAATACATGTGGCAAAGGATACTAAAGCAAAATTATTTGAAATGTGTGATTCCCAAATTCAATTGATCTGATCTGATGTGATTGTCGATTTTGTTTTATGTTTCAAGCAAGGATTGAAATTTTTATTCTAAGATCCCATTCTAGGGCAAAGGTATATCTGTAATTTTTAAAATGAACTTCACTAGAAAATTGCAGTTGTAGAGATGGGGTGAATGCCTCAAATAGTATTATTTTTAGGGCACCCCAAAGCCACTTACATCCTTGAATATACTCCTTTGTCACCCAGAAGTCTCTAGTCCTTTTATCTGCTTCAGGGGACATTTAACCAGCGGACATTTGACATTGTGCAAAGAAACTTTGTCACAAGTTTGGGAGAGGATTCTACTAACATCTTGTGTATAGTAGGACCAGGGACACTGCCCAGTGTCCTACAGTATACAGGACAGTCCCCAAAGTAGAATAATCTGGTGTTGAGGTTGACAAACTTTAGTCTAGACCTAATTTGATCCACAAATATGCAGCAGGAATTTTACAGTATGTTCACTTTATCTTAACTAAAGTAATATGTGAATTTGTTTGAAAATTGAGAAGGTATAAAAGCTACTTATAGTGAAAAGACTGTCCCCTGTCCCCTACCCTCCATCCTCTCCAATGCACATGGATTTCAGGTTGTGTCAGTTTCTTCAGACACTTGGGCACATACTTTTCAAGAGCAGTTGAAACAATACCACAAGGAATAGCAATGTGCCTGTCATATAGATCTGTTGTTAAGACTGTGACTTTGCTCCTAAATACAGACATTCCTCCTTTAATGACTTATGTTCTGTTCCCTTGTCTAGGTTGTTAAATGAACAGGTCACTGACTGAGGAATTGTGTATACTGTGTATAGTATAGTATTCAGAATGAAGAAATGATTAAAGGAAACTTCAACTTAATGATTTTGTTTTTATTTTTGTAACTCTTACCTGCAGAACTATAATATATAACAGAATATAAAAATATAATACTTGACAATAAAATCAACAAAAATTACAGTTCTGTACTGTATAAACAAGGTATACTGTACCAAAAAAGATATTGAGACTTTATAAACAATATGTACAGAACTGTACAAAGAAGATGGGTCATAAGTGTGAGCAATTAGTCATAAATCAGTGTTGATAAAAAGTTCAAACAGTCAGTAAAACAAGTAGATTGTTAAATGAGGGATATCTGTACTTAGGCACTGATCCCTGGAAAATTTAGAGTATTCTATGTAACCACAATATACCTCAGGAACTTGACTGTTGATATAGTACAGTTACCCCATATGCAGTTCATATTAAAATTTCTCTAGTTGTCCTAGGAATGTTCTTTATAGCTGTATTTTTTTTCTTTCAATCCAAGGTTGAAAAAAAAGCCAAGGCTGAGCCAAGGATCATACATTGTTTGTCATTTTTCTTCAGTGTCTTTCAGTCAAGACTTCTCGTTTTGTCTTTTCTTCCCCTTCCTTCCATCATTCTGTCTTTCATGACATTGACATTTTAAGGAGTCCAGACTGGTTATTTTGCAGAATGTTCCTTGATTTGGATATGTTTGATCTTCTCATGATTACTTTCAAAGTAAACATTTTGGGCAAGAATATCACATAGAAAAAGTGTTAGCTTTGTCATAGTATGAAATAGCTGACATAAACAACTTATAAGGAGGAAAGGTTTATTTTGGCACACAGTTTCAGAGGTTTCAGTTCACAGTTACTTGGCCATGTCACTTTGGGCCTGTGGTAGCCCATTACATCATGTAGTGGAAGAGGTGTATTCAGCATGTGACAGCTGGAAAGCAAAGAGAAGCAGGAGCTAGGGTTCCCTTCAAGAGCACACCCCCAGTAACCTAACTTCCTTCTTCCTAAGGATTTCACCACCTCCCACTAACATACATCCTGGGGACCAAACCTTCAGTACTTGGGCCTTTGGGGGATACTTCAGATTCAAACCATTGCAAGAATAATGTCTTCTTTTTTGCCTCATTTTAAAACATAATATACTATATACATTGTTTATGTTTCTTGTTTCTTTCCTTTTATTCAGTTCTTTCCATATTGATAAATAGCAAACTTCCTTCCCTTTTAATTGACTTTTCATTGTGTGAATCCATTATAATTTATCTAACTAGCCCATTTTGATAAACACTTACTGGTTTCCAATCTTCTGCTAAAAAGACAATGGCACTTATGCATTAATCGTTTTGCAAAGATATCCATTTAGAGAACTGCATACTTATTGTGATGACTGGACCCAGTACACATTCTGTCATGGTGTGATGGATATTGCCAAATCACCCACTGTTAGCTGGTAACAACTCACCCCACCACATAGCATGTGTTTTCCCACCAACGGAATATCCAAATAAGAGCTTAGCTTAAAAATATAGTATCTCAGTAGTACTATAATTTGTTTCTCTTACTGTTGATGAGATTCATCTCAAGAAGCCATCTGTATTTCCTTTTCTGTTCAAATCATTAACCCATTTTTCTCTGAAGTTGTTCCTTTTCTTCTGGATGATTCTTCTCTTTTGCTGTTTATTTCCCACCTAATGACATTGGCCTGCCCCCAGTTTCCCACTTCTCTGGTAATCTTTCTTACCTCTTTGCTATGAAGCTGTTGCCAATTCCCTACTGGAATAGGGTAATTCCAGACCATTGTACTTGGTCATTCTCATCTTGACAATATTCACAAATAACTAACTAAACAGAATACTCAAGCATAAAATGAAAGATAGGTGGCAAGCTGACAAGTCTTGTGAGACAATATTTAAGAACAGAAATGCCTAATCCTTCCAAGAAAAATCTGACATTGGGCTGGAACTAATTTAATAATAAGGCCAGGCAGGAAGACAAGTACAAGGAGTGAACAGACATCTCTCTCTAGGCTTGGTGCCACAGGCTTCTCCACTCTTCCACCAGAGGCTCTGCTGGGCTCACCAGGAGAACCAACCCAGACCAGCTAAAGCAAGAAGGTACACTTAATTGGAGGCTGCCAAGGTGTGCCACAGTCTCAGGATGACCTGCTCATCCTCTTCTATTTCCAGACCTGACTCAGGGGAACGCTCCAGCCCAGCACACTGCAAAAGCCCCCATGCACCAGTCAGTGCTGCCCAAAGGTAGACTATCCCTGGAAAGGAATACCAAGCATCCTACTACCATATTTCCTTTGAAAACAAGACCTAGCCAGAAAATAATCAGCCTTGAAAACTGGAGATCAAAAATCCCAACCCTAATCAGCCTATCTTTACCTTACCTGCCTTATAGAGTAGCTACCAAGCAAGAGAATAGTGATGGCAAATAAGGCAAGGATAGGCTGATTGGGAGCCAGCATTTTTTTTAACTTTTAAAAAAATTTCTCTTAGTACATGTTTGTAGTACAGGCAGTTTACAGTCATTTTGAGGAATGGATACATGTACATGCTACAGTTTGTTTCTTTCTTTAATTCCCTTTCCTTTCCCTCCCCTATCCCTCCCTTCTTCCTCCTCTAATTCCCCTTTCCCGATTCACATTCTTGTTGCTGTTGTTAAGCTTAGCTCATATTATGGACTATCATGTTAAATTCATTGAGGTTATTAGGTTCCTATACATGGCATATCTTTATTCTACTTACTTCCTCGTCCCCTCTTCCTCATCCCTTTCTCTTATTCCCTTAGAGCCAGCTTTTTTTGATTTCTAGTTTTCAAGGCTGATTATTCTCCAGCTAGGTCTTATATTGGGGGAAAGGAGATAATTGTCCATTACATGCCCCACCGATAGAGAACAGGCTAGGCTATTGGTTTCCTTCAAGTATCTCTCAGGGAGTTCAGTATGAGGGTCAAGTAGACCTGTTCCCACCATATAGCAAACCAATCTTTAACAAAGCTTTATTAGGATACCCAACATGTAAACTCCAAGAATAACTGCCTAGCATCCTTAGTGCATCAAACTCTTGCTCTTCACAAATAGAGCTAATTTTACCTTTGAAAGTAACTTTTCTTTAGGGTCTCACTGCATAAAATTATATTTGTGAAATAACTTAAAAGGAGTAACAGATAGTGAAAAGATATCCCTGAACATAAGGACAACCCCCCTAGGAATGGTGAGAGGTATAAAAAATGACATGGAGAAGACATCCAGGCTTGGACTCTGTGGTATTCAGTGCTTAAGACTGGAGATAAGGAGCAGGAAGGTGTAGCAAAAGAAGCAGAGGCCTCTCAGAGTTAGTTTCTAAGTCGTATACTTTATACTCACAGTTGTAGCTCTCTAGTTAGAAATCTGAGCAGGTGAACATTTGATTCATTGCTTCCCTTCTCTGTGAGACAGTGAAGGTTTAACTCCTGATCCCAGTGGACTGCATCTGTCCTGTCAGATAAAGGGTACACATCTGTCTGCCTGACCTTAAGTCATTGCTTCTGGAGTATAGGTGCTCTAAATATTTGCATCCAGCATCTTTCCTAAAGCAGCAGCCCGGAAAACTGGATGTGCTGTTTGTCTAGTGATGTTTACAAACCTGGTGGATTTTTTAGCTAGAAACTTGATGTGCTAATAAGAAAAATCTATAAAATTAAGTATGGAAAAAATTGCACGAAGGGCAAATAGATAAGCATCTCAAAGGATACTGAATGAGAAGCACTATGAGGACACCTAAGTATCCTCATAGTGCTTGGATCTAGGGAGGAGGCTGGGTGTAGGGGAAGGGAATATTCTGGTTTTTTTGTACGTGTGTGTGTGTGTGTGTGTGTGTGTGTGTGTGTGTGTATTTCTCACTATGCAAGCATTATATTTGTAATCCTTTTCAAAAAAGACTAAACACAAGTCAATAGTATTCTTCTTATCTTCACAAAGCTGGCAAACAAGAAGCCAGATAAAGATGTATTATTCTTATTATATGTGTACTTATATGTTACACTCTATTTTAGATCTTGCAGCACCTTTCATGGAGGTTCATTGTATAAATTACATTTAAAGCTGACATGACTTGAAAATGTTATTCCTGTATACAATAAAAGCGGTGTATGTGCTAATTGAATGGAGGGTGGGAAGAAGAGTTCCCACTCACATTCTGAAATGTCTACTTGTCTTGATCCACTAATCATCCTTTGGGGAACACTTGGGCATCAAAGCAAAGGAATTCAGATTAAAATACTCTTCTGCAACAAATATTTAATGACACCTCCCATTTGTGAAACCTTTCTCAACCAATTCTCATGGAGTCATTTCTTGCTCTTGGGCCTTCTCTAATATCTATCACGTTGATCTGAGACTTTGATCACTTTAAAATTGACTCTACAGTGTACCTAGCACCCGGATCCTGATTGCTAATGACATTCTTTAACAAAGGAACGGGAGCTCTTGGAAAATGGCTGATTCTAGGCCCGGATTAGGAAAATGAATCCAGAGAACCTTGGAGTGCCAGAGAGTCAGGAGGTATTCACAAAGCCTTCTATGATGAGCACACAACAAAGTGACATGTGTGTCCTGGAAAAGTTCCTAGTGGTCAAAGCTAGAACAATTTGAGCAATATAATAAAGCGGTATTGTGTTATAACCCAAAATAGGAAATAAATATCCCTGTGTCCATAGTGATATAAATATATAATTGAATAAGTAAATGATAGAGAATAGAAAAATCCCCCATGTTGAAGATCCTAAATAGTTTATGTAGATGTTCCACCCTCGAGGAGATAGAATGTGACTCCATAGCCCTCAAGTGAAGGTTGAAGCCTTACAGCACAGAAATGGAAGGAAGAGTCACTTTACAGTGGACAAATACCACCTATATCAAGGTGATCAGATGATCAGGGTTACCATCCACAGTGATGAGTCATGTTGATTATATGGGCCCTTGATAAGATATGGTTAAGGGGATTTTGCCTCTGTGGGTCTTCCCAAAATCCAGTGACCCCAGTCTAATTATGGGGAAATCATCAAACACATCTCAGTGGAGGAAAATCCTATACCATACCTGAGCAGCACCTCCAAACTGTCAAGGTCATCAGCCATCAAGGAAAGTGAGACACTGTTGCCACTCAGAGGCTCCTAGGAGATACAATGACTAAATGTCATATGGAATGCTGGAAGAGCCTGTGAGACAGGAAAAGGACATGAAGGGAATCTGAGGAAATCTACATGAAGTAGAGAATTTAGTAATTAGTAACGTAATAGTATTAATTTATTAACTCCAAGAAAAGAGTCATACTGACAATATGGCATCTCCGTACTACCATCAGATATGGATACTCTGTACTACCTTTATTGTCTTTCTGTGATTCTGAATCTATTCTAAAAGGAAGTTTATTTTGATGACTAAACATGTGACAGATATTTTCACTAGGAAGTGAAGAGGGGGAGAAAGTACAGAGAAAAGCTTTTGGTTCTTCCTTTGAATACCTTTGAGTAGTTTGGTATTTCTGGGTGAAGATGTGATAGTTCAGTGATTTTCTTCAGGAAGGAATCAGCCTTTGTTCTACTGCACTGTTTACCTGCCAGTCATTTGGTAAGGAAGCATTTTATGCACACATATTCTTGGCCTCTTATAGCTTGGAGTCTTGCTCCTGTGGAGGTTGGACCAGCGGGGTCGGGTGCAGGGGACACCCTTGCTGAAGCATGAATATGAAAAACACCTCACTCATTGCATCTTCAGGCTCCCCCCTCCGGGCGAGTAAGTGTGAGGTTCCCCAGGGCCAGGGCAGGGTGTATGGCTCCTTCCAGAAATCCTGACTGCCTTATCACCTTTACCTTGTCAGGGACCTCATTCAGTTGGCAAGGGCAGCAGTCAGTGGTGATGAGAAGGCCTTGGACATGTTTAACTGGAAGAAAAGCAGCTTTGGAAGTTTCCTGAAGATGGGATCCCAAGAGGGGCTGTCATTCTTCATCAGTCTCATGGATGGTAAGGAACTTGGGTTGGGATTTTAAGAGTCACAGCATTTCAGGGATGTCTGGCAAAGATTTTAAGTTGATGGGTAGTGCTTCTGTATAAAATACAGTAATCACAGGCTAGGCACACTTGTCTGAGGTGCAGTGTTGTGCCAGCTGGCTTTATACAGGTATTTGCCAGCACTCAGAGAGTTGTATTTGGCTCTGGCAGAGACTTAGTGAGCCATATTTGTGTTGAAGGATTTTCATAGGCAAGTCCCCCTGCACCCATCCACCCAGGTACTAGATGATCAAATCTAGGACCTTTGCTCGAACTACGTCCCCAGCCCTTTTTAAATTTTTTTAAATTTAATTTTATTTTACATTTTTGAGATAGGGTCTCATTAAGCTGCCCAGGTTAGACTGGAACTTGTAATCCTCCTGCCTCAGCTTCCCAGAGTGTTGGGATTACAGGCATGCATCACCACACCCATCAAGAAAAAGTAATTCCACCGACTGCACAACACCCAAGACAGTGGAGATGGTTTGGGGAAGTTTTTTGTTTTTGTTTTTTCTTGTGGTGGAGAATGAAACCAGGGAGGGTCTTGTACATGCTAGGAGAGTGCTCAACCATTGAGCTACATTCCCAGGCTGTGAAAGATCTTTTGTAGTACCCCTATTATTCATTCTGCATAATTATCAGCAGTTACTGTATGCTAAGTACTTGCTGGGATCTAGGAAAAAAGCATGAGCAGTATGGGGTCATTTTCACTTCCAGCCAGCAGCCAGCCTTCCCAAGCAGTCAGCACTAAGTACCATCTGTTGATTTTAATACTGCCTGCCCTTGAGGTAAGGAAGGAGACAGCCCACCAACGAAGGCCAAAATAAATGGACTGTGGTGCTAAAAGTAAAAGGGACTTTGACAGTCACAGGAAGCAACCTCCAGTATGTCTGTCAGTTGGAGAGGCCCAGAGATGAAAGCCACATGGGAGTGACTGGGTTTGAGGAGGAAAGAGGCTGTTGCTGTTGATTTCACCAAACAGCCTGACCTTAATGTGAAGAGAAGAGCAGATGATGGTGGACAGAGCCACAGGGTTTGTGATTTTTTTCTTTAAGTAAGTGAAACCTTTCGTTTTAGAAGGAAAGGAAATAGAATTGATGGACAGGGGAAATTGAGAAAGTCCTATAAGGTCATCCAAGTAGGAGTGGCAAGAAGAGAGCATGAGAGTCAAGATGTGAGGTAGAAAAATCAAGAGAAAGATGCCAGTGGGTGGGAATGGGTGGAGCCATGGAAGAACTCTGCTCATTGCCCAAAAAGTGCTATTTCAGGTACTTCAGCTTCCTGAATGGAAGATGGGAATTTTACTAGTGTCTCCTTTGTTGTAACCTGTAAAAGTACTTAACACTAATCTGCCACCTAATATGTGCCTACTAAATACTATTTATTGTTACAATTAGCCCAGGTGACACTGAACTTTCCATTTTGATAAGAACTCACATTTTGCTGGGCATGGTGGCACATGCCTGTAATCCCAGCGCTCGGGAGGCCAAGGCAGGAGGATTACCACAAGCTCAAGGCCAGCCCGGGCTACATAGTAAGTTTAAGGCCAGCCTGAACTACAGAGGGAGACCCTGTCCCAAAAAACTAAAAAATCAAACGAACAAAAACCTCATTTTCCATTGGGAACAAGATGAAAGTATAGAATAGTGAGGAGGCTCCTACATAGAGCAGCAATGAGCCAGAGAACCCTGAGAACTCAGGGGTCACTATCTACCTCAGATACCCAGAAGGGAACAAAGGAAGCAAATGGAGTGCTGTCCAGTGTTGGAGCAGCCACTCAGGCAAGGCTGGAAGAGGGTGCCGCTAAGCAGAGGGAAAGAACTGTTATACAGCTAATTATAGCTATGGAGGACAAGAGAGGAAGGGCCAAAAAGCACCCAGTAAGATGGTAGATGTCACACAAATGACTCAGGAGCAGAGGAACAAGCAGAAATGTCATCATTTAGGGTCTCAGGAAGGATACAGGGGTACCAAAAGTTAGTGAGCAGAAATGAAAAAGACGAGGCTGAAGAATCAGAGGGGTCAACAGTATAGATGCTAAAATTCTCCATGAGAGTGGTAGAGAAAGAATCGTTGGAGACAGCCAAAATCAAGGCAGCCCTAAACCAGTGAAGTGGAGATTTTTTCAGAGATGGTTATGAGATTATGCAAGTGCTTTATTTCTAAATTTTTATAATCAAGATTGTAAAAAATATCCTTAAGTAGATAGAAATGTCTGCTTGTGAATGTCACAAAAACACAGATAAGACAGGAGCCCCTGCACAGTGACGTACCTCTGTTCCTAGGGTCAGTACACTATGTGGATGAGAAAGGTAAGACCACCTGTGTGGCATCCACAGACAGCTCCATCCAGACACTGTTCTACATTGAGAAGAGAGAGGCACTGGTGGTGGTCACGGAGAACCTCCTGCTGTCCCTGTATACGGTGATGCCTGAGGGTAAAGCTGAGGAAGTAATGAAGGTAGGTGAAAGAGCAGTTTGGCCAACCCAGTGCAGCACCATGGTAAATAGCTCCCCAGCCAGATCTCTTACGTACTTTGAATGCCCTTTCTGTCCTAGTTATTAAAACTGAAACAATCACTGTGGTTCAAGTACTGTTCTCAGTATCATTTTTTTACTCTAGGACAGCTATAGGTGAGTGAAATGAAAAGTGATTTCCTAGTATCTGTGGGCACAGATGGGTATGTCATAGGAGCCTAGGCTTTTTCCTGGCCTGCACCCCCTCTCAGTTGGTTAACTCAGAGCCCATGGACTTGAGGTACGACAAAGAATATTTTGAGACAGTCTGGCTTAATTTTCCAGGCTGGGCTCAAACTTCCATCCTCCTTCCTCAGCCTTCTGTGAGTAGCTGGGATTATAGCTGTGTGCCATCACACCCAGCTATTCCACCCACCCCTAGGACCTCATTCAGCCTTGTTACCACCTAAAGGCCCTACCCATAGACAGAGTCAACATGGGGAGAGGGGACAGTTCAATCTATAAGCACCTGGCTTCAAATGCCCTGCACAGCTACTCAATGTTTGATATGCCCTGGGAACATTTTCACTGTGCAAATTGAGGATAATAAGACCTGTCTAGAGGGTATAGCAGGAAACACCCAGCTCAACTTAGTAATCACTCTAGAGATTCCCACTCAGTACTATGCACTAGATGCCCATCATTTTTTATGCAAGTTATTGCTTTCTGTGCCCTGTACATTTTGAAAACACCAAGGATAGCTTTCAATTTCTGCTCAAACCCAGTTTCCTCCATTGAGTAAGTCCCTGTAAAGTTACTGAAAACCAGATCCAAGACTCACAAACTTGGGGACAGTGGTCTCAGCAGGAGCCATGTGCTTCTTGCAGATTCTTTTTTCCTATACAGGTAAAGCTGAGTGGGAAAACAGGTCTCCGGGCAGACATCACTTTGATTGAAGGCAGTCTTCTTGTGATGGCCATAGGGGAAGCTGTCCTCAGGTGAGAACTTGTCTTTCCATTGTGCATACCTGAAACATTCTGTCAGAACTCACTCCTACCCACCCACCCATACCCGACTCCCAGTACTAGGCACTGAACCCAGGGCTTTGAGACAGAGTCTCACTAATTGGTCCAAGCTGGGCTCAAACTTGGGATGCTCTTGCCTCAGCCTCCCACAGTGCTGGAATTATAGGTGTGTAATACCATGCCTGGCTGGCAACAGGTTCTTTTAAGTGGACTTATTGAAGTGTAGCATATATACGAAAAAGTATGCATATTATGAGGAATCTTTACAAATTGGACATATCCAGTGGAAAAACAAAGCCTTCAGAATCCCAGGATCCCTAGTGTTCTCTCTTAGGTTCTTCACCAAGCAAGTAACAAGACCTGATATCTGCCCTAGAATCACCTCGCCAATTTTTTTTGTGTGGGGGTTGTTTTGAGACAGTTTCTCCCACTGTTACCTAGACTGTCCCCAACTCCTTGCTTTAGCCTCCTAAGTTCTAAGACTACAGACATGTACCACCATACCAGGCTATATATAAACCATCTTTTAGTAATTGCTCTCTTTGATCATAAATAAGGCATAAGATAATCCTGTGATATTAGCTTTCTTTTTCATACCAGAGAGTATGAAGGGTCTGCCTCTTCTATGACTTTTGTTTGCTGCATAGATTCAACAGAGCCCTCAGAGCAGAGGAAGAAGCCAGTAACAGCCCTTTGATGGGGCTTTCTTCCTTCCATTGTAGATTCTGGAACTTGGAACGGGGAGAGAATTACATACTGAGTCTAGAGGAGAAGTTTGGCTTTGAAAAAGGAGAGAACATAAACTGTGTTTGCTACTGTAAAGCCAAAGGTAACACTTCTTGGCCTGGCATGGAAGAAATGGAATCATTGTGCTCAAGTTGTAAATAATTAAAGTGAAATTTAGGGATTATTTAAGAATGGCACATCAGTTATAACTGACATCACTCATTTGAATACAGTCAGAGATGAGCAAGTGACAATAAAGCTTTGTTATGCATAATGGGCAAAGGGTTTAATCAAAAAGTGACAAACCAATGCATATTGCTGCCTGTTTTCTCTTAAAATCCCGTGAAACAGTGTGGGACATGTGTGCAGACATAAAAGCATGTAAATATGTGTGTGTGCACATGTGACACACAAAGGACAAAAAAGAGTAGCGGTGCCGTTCTGGCAGAGTTTGCTGAATGCTCAGCACTGTTTGGGCCAACTGCTCTTGGAAAGCAGAAAGCATCCACTCCTGCTGCCTGCGCTGGTCCAGTGTTGCCTGGGATAGGCAGTGCCTGTGAAGGGAGGTGGGGCCTTGTGAGAGTGGGATTCTTGGACCAAGGGAGGCTGACACATTGGAGAAAGTGGTCATGGGGCACTTGCTGCTGCTATGGTCCCCTTTTCATCTCAGTTAACATGCACTTTGTTTCCCCTTCAGGTCTTCTGGCAGCTGGTACTGATAAAGGGCGAATAGCCATGTGGAAAAGAGTGGCAGGCTCTCCAAGCAGCCGAGAGGTAGAGGGCAAGGACACATGGACCCCTCAGACCCCCACTGAGCTTGAAGGAAACATCACACAAATAAAGGTGCTACTCTGCAAGAGTTAGTCAGTGCTTCACTTTCTTTGCAAGAAGTCCAAGAAATGATTGATTCTAAACCTATTTTTATCAGTTATTAGACTTAAGACTATGTAAAAAAACAGTAATGAAAAAATGTTAAGATTTTTGGATTTTAGAATTGCAGATAAGAGATTATGGATCTGTATTTGTATCCTTTTGTATATCCATTTTTCTGTATCTCTGCCTATATCTATATAGATGCATATATATATTAAAACAGCTTATAGAGATATAATTTATATAACAAATAACTTGTAATATATCCACAGAGTTCTGCAGCCATTAACATGATAAATTATTTTTCACAATAATTGGTTTGTTTTTTTTGTGGTACCGGGAGCTGAACTCAGGACCTTGCACTTGCCAGGCAGGTGCTTATGCCACTGAGCTATCTCCCCAGCAATATCTTAGCACATTTTAATCACTCCAGAAAGAAACCTGTGCCCATTCCCCAAATCCTTGAACTTGGAATCCTTCTTCCTCACCCTCCAGAGTGCTGGGTTTACAGGCATTTGCCATCACACCTAGCTGTAAGTTTTGGTGTGGACATATGCTTTCCATTCTCATGGGCATTTGTTTCTTTTTTTGTCATCTCTGTCTCTTGTGTGTTCTCTGTCTGATCAAACATAGTCATCACACCTTCCTGTAGTAGTTAGTTGTGCCTTATAAGAATGAACATATTTGTAGCAGCTACTTTGCTAAGTCCAGCATCTGGGCTCTCACAATTTCTGATGCCTGCTTTTTTTTTTTTAAACTATATATGGGTAATAGTCTCCTCTTCTTCATGGCTCTTAATATTTTGTTGAAAACTGAGCATTTTAGATTAATTTGAAAGTTTAATGTGAAGTTAAATCACATCAACAGAGTAAGGCAGGATAATTTGTATAAACTGCCTGTCAGTTCAGAGAAAATAAATATTCCTGTGTTGTATTCAAAAAAGCTAATTTCTAGAAAACACTTCACCAGTCAGAAAAGATGCTAGCTAGAATAGCCACACATACGTCTACCTGCTGATTCACAAAGCAATATATAAGTATTTTAAAATTTTTCTACAAGGTACATATTTTATCTTTATTTTAAAATATTATTTTTAATAAGAAAAAATGGTACTTGGAATATAGTTTATGGATCCATGGAATGTTTATATGTTTCCCCTGATGGTGTCTGTACTTCATTCACACACTTGCTTCTGTTTTTCCCAACCTGGAATGCAGTGGGGCTCCAGGAAGAACCTCCTGGCAGTAAATAACATCAGCTCCATAGTGATCCTCAGAGAGCAAGCCATGTCATCACACTTCCACCAGCAGGTGGCCGCCGTGCAGGTCTCCCCAAGCTTACTCAATGTATCCTTCCTGTCCGTGGGGGGAGTGTACAACCTGCGCACAGACATGCACATCACCGGAGTGTTCGCCACCAAGGTGACTGCAGAGGACAACTCATGGGGTCAGACAGGGTCAGCATAGATGAAAGAGCTGCTCATTTGTTGGGGTAATTCAGGATAGCATGGGGCCTGGATGACAGGTTGGGCAACTTTTAATTCCCTCCTGAATGATCTTATTTTCTGAATCTTCATGTATGTTATACTCACAAAAACATAATAATAAACACTCAAGGACATTTTACAGAACATGAAAAACAGCCCTCACCTGCATCTGTGGACCTAATGCTGACTGTATGGCAGCATTCAAAGGTAGTTAGAGAAGGGTCTGGGCTTTGGAAGTATATAATGGGATCTACAGTTTACACCTTGCTTTACCTGACTGTTACTTTGGATGTCCATGTTCTCTTCAGGATGCTGTGGCTGTCTGGAATGGAAAACATGTAGCAATCTTTGAGCCTTCTGGAGCCACATTACGGAATGCAGGTGAGCGTCTCTTCACACCCACAGAGGGGTCTCCAGGTCGCCTCCATTGTATCCCCATTTACTGAGAAGGCTGTAGGCTAGGCCCTGCTACAGGGGCTCAGGGACCCTTTGTGTCAGTTCTCATGCCTCCACCTACACCTCTGGCCCATGCACAAACCGAGAGCCTCCTGAGTTGCATCGTACTAAAGCCCGTCAAGGTAGTGGAGGTACAGTGAGACCCTAGGCAGCAAGCCTTCCTGTGCTCCCAGACGCCTAAATGGCTTGGAAATGAGGCTGTGTGAGCTTAAGCAACCACAGTGCTATTATGGGTTCTTCCAGGGAAGGCATTGCTGCATAGCCAGGTGTAACAGTGAGACCATAGTACCCACTTTCCTCTATGGCCATTTATCTCTCTAACATTCCTCGTTAATTTGGCTGCGTTTATCCTGTATTCTTCAGCACACACCTTTATGAGTTTCCTGGGGCTGTGATAACAAATTACTGCAACTCATTGACTTAAAACCAAAAACTTATTCTCTTGCAGTTCTAGAAGCTAATATCACTTTTACTGGGCTAAAATCAGGGCATCAGCAAAGCCACATAACCTCCAGATCCTCAAGGGGAGAATCTGTTCCTTGGATTTTCCAGCAACTTAAGGTGGCTGCTGATAGTCCCTGGATTGTGGTCACAGGGAACTCCAGCCTTTGTCTTTCTGTGATCACATTGCCATCCTTTTGAAATCTATGGTCCTGTTGCAGGCCTTTTGAGGGCCCACCTAAATGATCCAGAATAATCTCCCTATTTTGAGACCTTATCATCTGTTGCCGTATAAGGTAATATTCACAGGCTTCAGGGATTAGGAGTAGATATCTCGTGGGGACATTTTGCAGTCTTTTTACAGTGACCAAGCCATCAGGATGTGGTCCCTCAGCTTGCCCTCCTACGTCATTCTTGCCTTCACCCATCCTAACCTCTGGGCTCTCTTAAGTCATAGGCTTGTCGTTGAGCTGTTCTAAGGGCAAGCCCTCCTTTTCTGGCCACTTCACACCTCTCCAGGGGTGTTTCCACTGGCTCTCAGCTTGCTCCCTATCTTTCCCACCTTGCTTTTTTTTCCTCCCATAACACATGTATTTTTTGGAGACAGGGTCTTACTATGTAGTTCAGGCTGGCCTTGAGCTCACTATATAGTCCAGAATGGCCTCAAACTCAGTAATCTTCCTGCCTCAGCCTCCTGAGTGCTAGGATTATAGGCATGCAACCCCACACCCAGCTCCCCTAACACTTTTTGCGGAAAATTTTCTAGTAACTTTTTTTCGTGGTGTGACCTGTATTGTAGGGTCATTCATTTGCCTTCTACCCTCTGTTGCATAGATAGAGGCAAGGATGAACTCCTTGTACAGAAGTAGAACAAACATAGCAGGTGCTGAGATATTTTCTGTTTTGAGTTTGCCATCACCTCCCTAACTCAGAACTTCTTTAGCACCAGAAACAAGGCAGGTAGCCTCCACAGTTCTACCCAGCATGAGCAGATGCTTGCCAGTGTGCTGTCATGGACGCTGTACTCCTGGGAACACCAGTTCCCAGATGGAAGAAAAGAGAAGACACCACTAATGAGTGGGTGAGCAGGAAGCCCAACAGAGTCCCCTACTAGACCCAGGGCTTTGTGAGGTGGTGTCACAGTTCCCTGTGCTCAGAGCCTCCTTCCTGTTTTTTTGTTTCTTTTTTAATTTTCCTTCAATGCTGGGCATTGAAGCCAAGTCTTGTACATGCTAGTCAAGTGCTGTACCACTGAGCACATCCCAGCCCTTTATATTTTTTTTATTTTTTATACAGGGTCTCTTTAAGTTGCCCAGACTAGCCTTAAACTTGTGGTCCTCCTGCTTCAGCTTCCCCAGAAGCTGGGGTTATAAGCATGTGCCACTGAAGCAGCTTCCTTTGTTGTTGTTTTTGATTGGTTGGGGTTTTTTGTTTATTTTATTTCTTTTTTATCTTTAGGGGGTTTTTGGGAAGAGGGGTTGTTTTGTTTTTTAGCCTTTTTGTATGGGAACCTACTTCTGCTCTTCCTCAAGGTCCAGGTAACACAGCCCTCATGGAGACGTTGTGAGGGCTGAGATGATTAGGGACTCCACTTGAGGCACATTCTCAACTCTGTAGACATCTCCAGGAAGCAGTCATTGCTGCTTTAATGCTCATCTTACATTTCAGGGACCTTTCTGTGTGAGTCCCCAGTGTTAGCAATGCATGAGGAAAATGTGTATACAGTGGAACCAAACCGAGTTCAAGTTCGGACCTGGCAGGTAAGTGGCTGCTGTATAGTTAATAAACTATGATGATAAAATTAGATGTGGGGTGTCATGGTACATACCTGTAACCCCAGTTCCTCAGGAAGCTAAGGCAGGAAAACCAGCCTTGGCAATTTAGGAAGACCTTGTCTCAAAAAGTAAAAAGGCCTGAGAATATAGTTCAGTGGAACAGTACCTCTAGGTTCAATCTCTTAGTAGTAGAATGAAAAAAGAGAAGGACAGGAAGGGAAGGAGGGAAGGAGGGAAGGAAGAAGACCAGGAGGGAGGGAGGGAGGGAAATTAGAGCAGTTTAAAATACTCTCTAAATCAAGCCAAATCCTTTACTTGGCCTTGCTTAGCTAGATCAGATTCCCCTCTGCAGATGGCTTATTACAAAAATTGATGCTGAGATACCTGCTCCAACAATGGCTATGGTGACTCTAAAATCAGGAGGCAAGACAAGGATCTTTTATAGGGAAGAGAACCTCTGCGTTGGACCTTGAATACACAAGGCTATGAAATGGGAGGAAACACTTGCTAGGAAAGTAAATATGACTTCTTAAAATATAAATGATGTGAAATTACCAGTTCAAAACCCAGTAGTCTTTATTTTCACTTAAAGTTTGGTCCTTTCAGTCTGCAGTACTGCGGACCCCTGCCCTCTGCTCACCTGCTACCTTCGAAGCATGCTGCTCTCCCATGGCCCACCACATTGGCCACAAGGATTTTAGGCATGAAGACCCTTCCCTGCTGAGTATACGTTCCCTCCTCTTTATGGAATATCACCTGGTGTTCTGCAAACAGCTGGTTTCTTCCCATCCTTGCCTGAGTTTAAATATTGCCCCAGACATGACTTTCATTTGTTTTTAAAATTTTTACTGGTACATTTGCAGTACATAATGATTACACTCATTTTGCTACATACACATAGCAAATCTTAATTTTTTTTACTTCCCCTTCTGCTAAGAATTTTATATCTTAAATATTTTATTGAAGTTTAAGATATATATATAAAATGTAGATGGGTCATATGTTAGTGTGCAACTCAGTGAATTTTCATATGTAGAGCATACTCAGCATGTAACCAACTAGCAATCTTGTGGTCCCTTTTTCTCCCAGCATCTCCACCTAGGGTAACCACATATATGACACTAAGAGCACCACAAATGTGACAGTAAGTATCACTGGGGCACCATAACACCACACGTCCCCTAAAAGGGGAACTCTCTTGTGCCCCTGGTGCCTTTCCAGCCTTCCACGTGTGTCCATAGTATACATCTCAGCTGAGATTTTGTGCATATTTTCATGCTGACTGGGATGCTGTTTCCTGTCTGGGTTCCAGGCACAAGCTCTCCTGAGGTCAGGGCCCGTCATCCCCTGCAGCAGTATGTCTAGTGCGAGCCTGAGTAGTGTGTATATGAGCCGTCAGTAGTTATTAGTTGAGCAAATGAGGTACAGGAGATCACCTTGTGTTCAGTAACAGCAGTATAGTTCCATGGAAGCCATTGTGCTGTAGAAGCCATGGTTCTTAATTTCTTACTCTTTTCTGCTCCTCAGGGGACTGTCAAACAGCTCCTACTGTTCTCTGAGACTGAGGGAAACCCATGCTTCCTGGACATCTGTGGAAATTTCCTGGTTGTAGGAACAGATTTAGCTCATTTTAAAAGTTTTGATCTCTCCCGAAGGTATGATTTTTATAAGAATAAAAGTATTACATTTTTTAAACTAAGACACAAAGTTGTGGATAGAAAATAAGACAGGGGATTAAATTCTCATTTCCGCACCAACTTCCTTTGTTGATGTGCCTCATGCAATGTCACCTGAGGTTGGTGCAGTGCAAGGGAGGTGGAACATGGTGAAGATTTTGGTGCATAGCATTTCTGTGTGATAGGAACATAACACTGCATTTGCCAAAACCTGTAGGATTTTATGCACAAAATGTGAACCTGAATGCATAATAGATATTTTATTGTATGAAAAGACTTTTTAAATCTTTTAGAATATTGAGGGTCTCAGGATAGAAAACAGAAGGTAGCAAAAGAATCCAATCAAAATGTGTTAAATGACCTCAGCCAAGGATGTAAGGAAAAGTGCTGCCCTGGAGACTCCAGATGTAAGCAGACACTAGCTTTAAGGACAGAGGGAGCACAATGTTCCCAGCATGGGCTGTGCTTAGTGAGTTCTTTCCAGAGAGCACAGTATTGTGGGGGAGGATCACTTCCTAGTGGAGAAACATGACACCCTTCCAGTGCCAGGTGAGCAAGGTAGACATGTCCTTGACATGATGTGAGAAAAAAGTACCTCGTCTCTCTGCTAGTCCCCACTCTAATCACAAGAAAATCATCAGACCAATCATAATAGTGAGGGAGCCTACACCGTGCCTGAGCAGAACTCCTCAAAAGTGTCAGAGTCATCAAAAAAAGGAGGCAAGTTTGAGAAATTAAATTGTCATAGACAAGGGGAGCCTATGAGTTATAATGCCACATGAGATAAATATCACATGAGCTCTTAGGACAACAATAAGGGCCACTGGGGAAACTGAGGAAATGTGAATAAATAAAGAAATGCAGGTTAGGAGCACCAAGATGGAGGAATGGTAAACAGCAGAGAAAGATCCTGTCAGAGAGTAGCCATCCAGACACTGGAATATAGCAATATGAGGAAGACAAGAAGGAAGGAAGTGGGTCCCCTGGACCCAGGAAGGATCTGAAGCATGAATTGAAGCCCATGGAGAGAGTAAAGAAAGAAACTTCAATGAAGAAGAAGGAGGTAGCTGGTGGCACCTTCTGCCTGAGACAGGACTCACTGTGCAAGAGGAGCAATTCAAACCTGCAGACACATGGTGACTGCTGGGAACCCCAGAAGCCTCCACAAAGAGACGCAGCAGTGGAGGGGAGCATCAGACTTGAAGGACTACACTAGCTAGCAGTGAGTTCCGAGGGCTCATTTTTTCTGCACAAGAGAATGATTAGTCAGGGGGAGCCATCTTGGAGAAGGGCCGGCTAAGTTCACAACTCAGAGTGGCTACTGACTCCATCTAGCTGCTCCCAGTTGGGCTCAGGCCCATGGAAAGTATGATGATGGCTGCAGACCGAATGAGTCTGGTCTCAGCCAGAAGGTGCAGGTTCACTGAGATTATCCACTAGCCCACCAAAAAGGCTATTGCTGGCTTACTGGAATAAATCATCGTGGATCAGGATTCTGTCTCCACATGCTGTCAACCAGTGATAGCAGAGACATATGTGAAAGTGGACTTTTTTTCTTTTTGTGTCTCTCTTGTTTGTTTTTTATTATTTTTGTTGTGGTTTTTTTGTTTTTGTTTTTGTTTTCTGTTTTTGTTTTTTCTCCTTCAGTGTTTGATCTTGTTTTTATATGAGTGCGAACATGGTTTATAGCCTCTTTGTGGTTGTGATTCTGTTCTGTTTTTCTTTTTATCTCTTCCTTCTCTTTTCCTCCAGTCTTATGCACTAGTTTCCCAAAGTTAGTAGGATCGCCCTTTGTCCTTCAGCCTTACTTCTAATCTCTTTCTCTTCTTCTACTTCTCTATTTTCTCCCTAACCCATTTTAAGTTTTAATTCCTGAGGGCAAAATTGACATATTAAGGACTTGTATACTGCATATAATTTTCTGGTTTGTTTTAGATTTTGTTATATAACCACAAATCTAGTTCATATGGTTAAAGGTAGCAAATTAATGGTTAGCTCAGTTTATCATTTTCTAGGCTGTGTTTAATGCTAATGTCATTACTGATGGTACTAATATAGCCAAAAGTGACATAGTTGTTCTAAACAGCTGTTCTTCCCAGTATTATAAAACTGAGATTGGGGCTGGGGATTTAGCTCAGCAGCAAAGCACCTGCCTGGCAAGCACAAGGTCGTGAGTTCGGTTCCCGGTGCCGGAGGAAAAAAAAACAAAAAACTGAGATTGACTAAGGGTCACAGAAAATGCTGTGGCACAGTGCCAGAGAACCAGGGGCTGGGCCAAATAGGCAGCAACTTCTCATCCCCAACAAATTGAAGAGGTGGGACCCTGAAAAAGACTCAGAACCCAAAAACCAGCTACACCTGGAAGAGACCTTGGGGAAGTAGTCATTTCCTGAGAGTTCTAAATACTGGCAATAAAGCAAACTACCATAGGCCATTTACAAGCATTCTTTGAATTTAACTAAATTAAACTAAAATTAAATTTAAAAATTTAAATTTTTTAATTTAATTAAAATTAAACTAAAAAAATTTTTAAAATGGAGAAGATGCTTAAACAATATGCATCCCCAAACATCCAGTTCACCAAAGGCAAATCCAGGGGGCAATGAGGTGGGACAATCTGAAAGCCACTCACCTGACCTCTCCAAAATGTCAATAACATAGCAATTGAATGAGGCTGTAGAAAAAATCAAATTAGAAATAATTTTTCTGATAACTGCAGAGATGGTGTCCAGAATGAAAACCAGGCTCTGGGGCTCTAGAACAGATACAGACAAAATATAGAGGGTCTTATGAAAATTATGGAAGCCATGAACGCTCAGCATAGGAAAGAAATGGAATAATAAGGCAGATTCAAGCAGATGTTCAGGAAAATAAAAATTCCATTGCAGGTATCTGCAGCAGATTAGCCAATATGAGGACAGAATCTCAGATGTGAAAACTGGTTTGTGGTTAGTGATCATGAAGAGAAAGATTTCTTAAAAATAGCTAGGGACTATGAGAAATCAGTATAGCAGCTGCTGTATGAGGCAAAGAAGAACAACTCAACATTGATTGGAGAAAATGAAAAAGCAGGAGATAATACAAAAAATATAACAAACTTTTCACAGACATCATGGCAGAAAACTTCCCTGGTAGAAAAAAAGAATTTGACATACAAATAAGTGAGTCATATAAAACTTCAGTTAGCCACGATCAAAAATTCTACAACCAGGCATATCATAATCATGATTCCAGAAATTCAACATAAGAATAAAATCTTACACCAGGCGTGGTGGTGCATGCCTATAATCCCAGCGCTCGGGAGGCTGGGGCAGGAGGATTGTGAGTTCGAGGCTAGCCTGGGCTACAGAATGAATTGAAGACCTGCCTGAACTGCATAGTAAGACCTTGTCTCAAAAAGATGAAAAAAAATATATAGAATCTTAAAAGCTGTTAGGGAAAAGAAACCAATGAACTATAAAGGAAAGCCCATCAGAAACAAAACTTTCTCAGTAAAAACCCTCAAGTCAAGGAGAGCTTGGAGTGAAGTATTTCAAGTTCTAAGGGAAAAGAACCTTCAACCCAGATCGATGTACCCCACAAAACTCTCTTTCAAAACTGATGGAGAAGTAAGATACTTCCATGACAAAGAACATCTAAGGAAATTTATGACCACCAAACCAGCACTCCAGAATGTTTTGAAGGACATTCTAGAAAGAGATAACAAGGACTACAACTCCATGAACCCCAATAGAAGGAATCCACCAAGCAAGGGAAACAATTAAACAGAGGAAGGGGGAAAAAAGAGGAAGAGCGAACAGCAGGAAAATAACATGACAAGGATAAATCAGTATATATCAGTTAGAACCATCAATGATCATAGTGTCAGTTTACCAATCAAAAGACACAAACTGGCAAAAAGCAAGAGCCAAAAATATGCTGAATACGAGAAATGCATTTAATTCAAAAAGAAATTCATAGACTGAAAGTCAAAGGGTGGGGGAAAAAAAAACTCCATAAGACAGGAACCCAGAAAAAGCAAAGGTAGCTATTCTGTTTGCAGACAAAGTGAATTTGAAGCCAAGACTGACAAAGAAAGTCATTACATCCTTGTAAATGGAACAATCCAAGAGGAAGAGATAATAATCATAAATATATATGCAACAAATATCAGTGCACCCAACTATATAAAAAGTATTAATGGGCATGAAATATCAAATAAGCACTAATACAATTGTATTGGGAGATCTCAATACCTACTATCACAAAAAGACAGATCAACTAGACGAAAAATCAACAATGAAATAATAGAACTGAACCAAACTTTTGAACAAATAAACTTAGTAGATGTCTACAGAGTGTTCCACCCCACAACATCAGAATACACATTCTTCTCAGCTGGACATGGAATGTTCTCCAAAATAGACTGCATATTAGCTTATAGAACATACAGTGAAATTGGAAATCAATGGCAAAAGAAATCACAAGAACTTCATAAACACACAGAAATTAAATAGCACCCTCCTGAACAACCAATGGAGCACAGATGAAATTAAAGAAGAAATTAGTTTCTACAATTAAATGATAAGAACAATATAGCATACCGAAATTTATGGGACACAGTGAAAGCAGTCCTAAGAATGAAATTTATAGCATTGAATACCTGTATCAGAAAAATAGAGCAAGTACAAATAAACAACTTAATGGTGAACTTCAAACTTCTAGAAAAAGAAGAGCAGGCTAAGCCAGAAGCTAAGGGAGGAAATTATAAAGATTGGAGAAAAAATTAACATATTGGAGACTAAAAAAATCAATACAAAAAATGAATTAATTGAAGAGTTGGTTCTTTGAAAGATTAAATAAAATTGATGAACCCTTATCCAACCTTCTCAAAAAAAGGAAGAAAAAAATAGACAAATCCATGCAATTAGGAGTGAAAAGGGTGAAATTACAATGGGCCATGCAGAAATCCAGAAGATCATCTATCCCTACTTTGTTTTATTTTTTTTAATTTTAAAGATAAAAGAAGAAAAACGTATTAACAGACACAAACATTTACAAAATAACACAAAAACAGCACAAGTAATACATATTTTCAGACAAGTGATAGGAAATTAACAGTGGGGGTTGTATTACATACTTGTCTTGGTTACTTTTCTTTAGTTGCTGAGACAAAATACCTGATGCCCAAATTTAAGGAAGGAAAGGTTTATTTGGCTCACAGTTTGTTCAGGTTTCAGTCCATACTCCACTGGCTCCAAGGCAAGGTAGCATATGGCAGAGGGCAACAGTTCATGGAGGCAGAAGATAGCGAAAGCAACAACAGCAAAAGGGAGGAGTGGTAGAGGAGAGAAAGCCTCTTTCCCTCCTTATATTGTAAGCAGGCTACCCCAACCCCGGGGGTGTAGCTCTCACATAATCTCCATGCCCTCCTCCTGCACAGGCTCAGGATGAATACAAAGTAAGGGCCTGGCCCCTGCTCTGTCACTTAGTTAACCTTCTAAACTTCTCACATTGACACAATGAACATCCTAGAGGTGTACGGTGGCGTGGCGTGTTGTTTTCACCCCAGAATGTAGAATTGCTGAGTCACTTAGCCAAGCCTCTAGATTCTACAAGTTGACTCAATGTATATCATAACAATATTGATATGTTCAAGTTGGTTACTCAGATAAACAAGTATAGGCATGTAAGATTGATCAAACAATTACACATTAACTGTTTCTTTTAATAAAGTAATAGAAATCAGTAGTACAACCACCTTAGCTATCCTGTGTATACCTGTATACATATTTTCTCTTCTTTCTTTTCTCTTTTCCCTCTTCCCAGTTGTTCTTTCCTTTTGAGCAGTTTCTGTCCATTTTGCAATATCTATTGTACCTTTTAGATTTTATTCACTCTTTCAGGTTCTTAACACTAGTGAGACAATATGGTGTTTATACATGTGGGTCTGATTTATTTAACTTATGAATGTCGTCTCCAGTTGTGTCCATTTACTTATAAAAGCCCCCAGTTTATCTTTTTTTATAGCTGTGTAATATTGCATTATATAAAAATACCACAACTTTTTTATCCATTCCTCAGTTGGTGGGAATTTGGGTTGCTTTTATGATTTAGCTGTTACAAATTGCACTGCTGTAAACATAGGTGCACATATATCATTGTGGTACGATGTTTTCAGTTCTTCTGGAAAAATACCCAGAAGGGAAATAACTGGGTTGAATGGAACTTCTTCTCTTAGTTTACTGAGGAATCTCCAAACTGATTTCCACAGTGGTTTTACCACTCTACAGTCATCTATACCTACTTTGAAAACTTGTATTCTAATAAGGTGGAAAACACAGAAGAAATGGACAGATTCCTACATATATATGAATTACTAAAGCTAAATCAAGAAGATAAAAAATCGTGAATAAACCAATATCAGGGCTGGGGATTTAGCTCAGTGGCACAGTGCCTGCCTGGCAAGCCTGATGTCGTGAGTTTGATTCCCAGTACCGAAAAAAAAAATCAAAAAACCAATATCAATCAATGAAATTGAAGATATAATTAAAAACCTACCAACAAAGAATAACCCAGGCTGTGATGGATTCACTGCTGAATTCTATAAGAAATTTAGAGAAGACCTAAGACCACTACTTCTCAAACTCTTTAATGAAATTGAAAGAGAAGCAATACTCCCAAATTCAATCCTGGAAGCAAGTATTATCCTGATACCAAAACTGGAGAAGGACCCACCTAAGAAAGACAATTACAGGCCAATCTCACAAATGAACAGAGATGCAAAAAATCCTCTATAAGATACTAGCAAACATAATGCAGCAAATCATCAAAAAGATTATACAGCATGACCAAGTGGGATTCATCCCAGTGATGCAGGGGTGGTTCAACACTTGTAAATCAATAAACGTAATACACCATGTTAACAGAGCCAAGGACAAAAATCATATGATCATCTCAATAGATGCAGAAAAAGCTTTTGACAAAGTCCAACACATATTCATAATAAAAACACATAATAAAAATACAGAAAATTGGAATAGATGGTCTTTATCTGAATCTGATAAAAGCCATTTATGACAGACTAACAGCTCACATCATACTAAATAGACAAAACTGAAAGCTTTTCTCTAAAATCAGGAGCAAGATAAGGATATCCAGTCTCCACTCTTATTCAGTATAGGCCTGGAGACTTTTGCCAAAACAATTAGACAAGAGAAAGAAATAAAAAGAACAATGACAGGAAAGGAAGAAGATAAATTATCATTATTTGCAGATGACATAATATTCTATATAGAAGACCCCAAAAACTCCACCAAAAAAACTGCTAAATTTAATGGGCAAGTTCAGTAGCATAGCTGGATACAAAGACAACATTCAAAAATCAGTAACCCTCCTGTACATGAATAACATACTCCCTGAGAGAAATTAGAGAAACAACACCTTTCACAGTAGCATCCAAAAAAAAAAAAAAAAAGAAAGAAATACCTAGGAATCAATCTGATGAATAGCATAAAAGACCTCTGCATTGAAGATTACAGTATTCTGAAAAAAGAGACCGAAGCAGTATCACAAAATGGAAAGATATCCCTTGTTCTTGGGTAGGAAGAACTGAGATAGTGAAAATGGCCATACTTCCAAAACTCTGTACAGGTTTAATGCAGTCCCAATCAAAATTCCAGTAGCGTGTCTCACAGAATTAGAGAAAACAATCCTAAAATTCATTTGGAACCAGAAAAGACCTCGAATAACAAAGGCAGTCTGGACAACAAAGGCAAGGTGGGGGTATCACAATCTCTGACTTGGGATTATACTATAAAGCTACTGTGATAAAAACAGCATGGAACTGGCAAAAATACAGACCCAAAGATCAATGGAGCCGATTAGGAATTCAGAAACAACTCCAAACATACTTAGCTGCCTTATCTTTGACAAACGTGCCAAACACATTCACTGGAAAAAAGATAGCCTCTTTAATAAATGGTGCTGGAAAAACTGGCTCATGCACATGCCAAAGATTAAAACTGGATCCATATCTTTTACCATGCACTAAACTAAATTGGAAATGGATCAAAGCTCTAAACATTAAAACAGAAACAGTAAATCTGCTGGAAGATAGAATAGGTAAAACTCTTGAGGATACTGGTGTAGGCAAAGATTTTATAAATAAAATCCCAATCCAACTGGGATCTCCTCTTATTAAAAAATACTTTTGCACAGCAAGAGAAACCACAAACAGAGTGAAGAGATAACTCACAAATATGTGAAGAATGTTTTCTAGCTGTACCTCAGACAAAAAGATTACTATTGAGAATGTATAAAGAACTCAAAAAAATCAGGCCTTGCCCCCAGATTTAAAGACCCAATCTAAAAATGGGCATCTGAGATGAATACACACTTCTCAGATGAAGAAATACAAACAGCAAATAAATATATGAAGAAATGTTCAACATCACTGGTCATTCAAGAGATGCCAATTAAAAAAAACTAAGATTCCATCTCACCCAGGAAAGAATGGCTGTTATCAAGAAGTCAATAACAAATGCTAGAGGGGCTAGAGGGAAAAAGGAACTCTTCTCTACTGTTATTGGCAGTGTAGACTGGTGCAACCACCGTGGAAATCAGTATGGAGATTCCTCAAAAAAATTGGATTGGACCAATCCCATTTGACCCAGCTATTCCCCTTCTAGGTATCTTCCCAGAAGAATTAAAAACATCATACCACAGCGATATATGTGCACCCATGTTTATAGCAGCACAATTTGTAATATCTAGATCTTGGAAACAACCCAACTGCCCATCAACTGAAGAATGGATAAAAAGGATGTGGTCTTTTTATACAATGGAGTACTGTCAGCCATAAAGAAGGATAACCTGGAGACTTTTATAAGTAAATCAGTGCAATTCTAGACCCTACTCATAAGTGAAGTAAACCAGACACACGTGTAAACATTGTATTCTCTCCCTAGTATGAGAAGCTGAAAGAGTAAATAAGATCCAAAATGTACAATAGATATTATAAAATTGGAAGAAACTTCAAAAGCAAGGAGAAACTGGGATGGGGGAATGGAGAAAAGAAGGATGGGAAAAGTAAAAAAACCCTATATATATGTGTGTGTGTGTGTGTGTATATATATATTATTTTATATAGATATTATTTTATATATATATTAGTTATACTACTAATTTCTCTTAGTTCATTGAAAAGAAAGTTTTGTGCTAATATTGTTTGGACAGTTAAATGCTGATATTTTATACTCTGAGTAACTAATTTAAAGATAACAGTACACAATATATTAACCATTGTTACCCTCCTGTCATCTTGTTTTGAAATTTTATTTTTTTCTCTTTAAAACATTTGTTTATTTAAAAAAGGAAAGGCATGAGCCACAATACTGTTGATATCAACAGAATTGCTATCAAGCTAGCAACCACTAATTTTTGCTGGCAGGGAATTGGTTTGCATAGAGTGGGAGGTAGTACAATTGTAATAGGATAAGGAGGCTGTCCCCTCTTCTGCCATGTGAAGTTCCAAAGCCGTGCTATAAGGAGGAATCACAAGGTGCAGAACAACATCCTTATTAGCTGCATTTGTATAAGAACAGGAGGAACACTAAGAATACATACTTATATACTTCCTCATAGCAGCCTCTCGTTTAGAAACTGGCCTGCGGCCTGAGCTTGGCACAGGTCTTGGGTACACCTGACACTAAACTGAGAAGCAGCAAATTGTCCAGCAGAATTCACTGTGAGTCAGAGAATTAGGTCTTTTCTGTGATATGCCTGGGACAGTGGATGGCATCTATACAAGAAAGGGAACTCTTGATACCCTAAGGTTCTTTCCTCTGTCCCACAGAGAGGCAAAAGTGCACTGCAGCTGTAGGAACCTGGCTGAGCTGATCCCTGATGTGGGGTCCATCGTTTCTCTCAGATGCAACGCCAGTGGGAGCAAGATCAGCATCCTCCTCAGCAAGGTGAGGGCCTTCCTGCCAGTGGCTCCAGTTGAGGGCCTGCCCCAGGGCAGTTCCTCCAAGCCCCACTCCTCTCCTTGTCCTGCTATGCCCTCCTCACCCTGACTTCTCCTCATAGCAGGGTCTTCATGTATAACCTTTTGGCCACCCTTCCTTCATCACCTCGTTCCTGCTCTCCCCTCCCCTTCCCACCACCTAATCCCATCTTTAAATACCCTCTACACCCCCACCTATATACTTTCCATCTTTTCCTGCCTTTCTTTGTTTCTTACTGTTTTTTCTTCAGAGAGCCCCCACCCCTTCCATTTTCCATCTGTTTTCTTTTTCTTTTTCTTTTTGTTTGTTTGCTACTGGGAATCGAACACAGGACCTTATGCTTGCCAGGCAGGCACTTGTGCCACTGAGTTATATACCCAGCCCTCTGTCTGTTTTCTTTTCTTCTTTTTTTTTTCCATCTGTTTTCTTTATCATCCAACTGAATTCTCCTTGGTACAAGAAGGGATGACAAGGACTATTGTGGTTGTACCTAGTTTTCCCCCTCATACTGGGGTTGAACCCAGGGCCTTTACACTGAGCTACATTTCCATTTTTAAAATATTTTTTATTTTGAGACAGGAGTTGCCCAGGTTCAGCCTGGTCTTGTGATCCTCCTGCCTCAGCCATCCAGAGTGCTGTAATTAGAGGTGTGCCTGGCTGGCAGTATGCCTTCAAGCATTTTGTTGAGAAAAGTAGAATGATGTGGGTGTAAAGGTAGACTCTTGGCAGCCACCTGGAGAGGGCCTGAGAGTGGGGTGGCTAGTGGCCTTGTTCTGGAATTGCCTTTTCCTTCCACCCTGCAGTGTTTGTTCATTAATTGGCTCATTCATTCTTGGGATGATATTGCTTTCCCTCAGTGGACCAGACCACACAGATACAAAGGTGATCAATTAATAAAAGGACTGCTCTCAACCCTATGAGAGCAGACATCAGGCACCAAGGCAGCCAGCCAGTGAATTTCCACAACCATGGTGAGAGCCATAAAGGAAAGGTGGGCACACGAGGCAAGTGTGGAACAGCATGGGCCACGCTGTGAGTTGTGGGGAACCCCTTGAGGAAGTGACGGTGGAATTGTTGTACGAGGCACAAGTCAAGACGTGAGGCCACGGTGAGTCAGTTTCAGTTCTGGAATGGAAGAACAAGGCTGACATGGTTGACAGGCTGACTTTGAACTTGGCACAAAGGAAAGGAGCATGATCTCAGAATTCTCTTTTCCAGAGGGTGGTTTCTAAAAGACTGAGACAGGACAAGGTGTATACAGAGGTCTCTTTGGTGCCCTCAAGCCTACCTGGAGGAGTTGGCCATGTGGGTGACTGTGAGACACCTCCCCTGTTACCAACTCCCACAGCCAGGGGTGCAGGTGAGGAAGGTGTGTTGTGTTGGAGGTGTAAATGAGGAAAGTGAGCGTTCTGAGATGGAATGCAGATATGGAAGGTGGGTATGCTGAGTTGGGTGTGTTAGATGGATAATTTCATACCTACTGACATCCAGGCTAGATCTCAGAAAGGAGGGTGGGTTTGAATAAAGGGTTGGGCTTGAGAGGTATTCACAAAGCATGTCCTGCTTCATCAGGAAAAGAAATGGCTGCTACCAGTCCCAAGGACCCAGCTAGGCCCTGAGGAAGCCAGGTGAGCAGGAATAGCCAAGGACCTGGGAGCCCCAAGGAGATATCTGATTCATCCCTTCAGCAGCTGGGCAGTGCTGGGCTGTGGATGTTGAGAAAAGAAATAGGACAGAGACCATGTGCACCAGTCTGGTAGCATGTGGTTGGTGGCTGACTTGAAATCCAGGAGGTGCTCAAGTTCCAGGGAGGCCCGTGGTGATGGGTAGGGAGTGGGGACCAAGCACAGAGACACCTTGTTCCCAAAAAGGAGTCTCCTTGCAGCACATCAGGAACACTTGTCTGTGTAAACAAAACAGGACAGAAAATGAGTAAAGGAAATGCTCAGCCATCATAAAGGAATGTGCAGTGAAAAATAACTTACCCCAACCACCCACTCCCCATGGCAGCCACAGTGGCCAAGAGAAGGCCAAGTCCTCCATGGTACTGGAGAGGAGGAGGCAGGACAGATGGGGCCCCTAGCCAAGGGAGCCCAGGCACCTGAATGTGTTAAAACAATGGGAAGGAATTCCTGGCCTCCTATTTGCTGCGCTTATTTTCCCCAGCTCCTTTTTTTTTTTTTTTTTTCTTTTTCTTTTTGTCTTTTTGAGATAAGGTCTCGCTATGCAGTTCAGGCTGGACTTGAGCTCACTTTGTACCCTAGGCTAGTCTCGAACTCATAACAATCCTCCTGCCTCAGCCTCCCAAGTGCTGGTATTACAGGCGTGCGCAACCACGCCCAGCTTTTCCCCAGTTCTTGTTTGCTCTTTAATCTCCTTATGGCATTTGTAAAGATATCAAAAAAATGATGTTTTTATGTAATCAGAGCTATTGGTGATTCCCATTTGTGAGTTTATCCATGGCTGTTAAGCCCACTATTATAATATCTTTTGTCTAAACATTTGATGTTTCATTTTTTTTTTTTTAATAGTACCCTCATCCCATTTAAGATTCCTGTATCTACTAGGATAAAGTTTCCCGTAGTCTCCTTAAGTTCTGGGTGTGTGTCCCCTAGCACTGCTTTACAGGTACATAGAACCCAGAGTTGACATCTGAGTTGTGCCTTCTGCTAGAGTGCTGTCTTAGAACAACACTGAACTGACTCCAGTGGACACAGAGGGACAGGCAGAGTGGAGTGTGGGAATTGAACTACTTCCCTCTCAGTTTCTATTCTATGCACATATACACAGTATTCTTCCTGTGCCACAGTGGAAATAAAGGAAGGAAGAAATGATGAGCTATAGTGACAGTGGCAAAATGGTCTCATCTGCATCTTGCACCTACCATTTCCTTTCTCTTTTTTTTTTTTTTTT